TCCCGGAAGGGCGCTGCCCCCAGGTTTGGCGCAGGCTCCAACTCTACCTCTGGTGTGTGTCCAAGCGGTGCGAGGAGGGTCTTCCGCACCTTATCCATGAGCTCATTCTCGGGGAGTTCGATATCTTCGGGGTGCGCTTTGCAGTGTGCGAGCAGCTGCGACCCAGTCGGGTCTGGCGGACCGCTCTCGGTCTTCATCGATGCCTCGATGAGTTGAAGCTGCGCCTTTTTGCCCTGGAGGTTGCTGATCTTTACGTTGATCTCTTCCCCCAGGCGCTCGTAGTCGTCGCAGGTCTTATCAATGAGGTCCTCTAGCTGCCTGAGGTCGCCCTTCTTGCGCTGAATGACAGCCGTCTCGTCCTTGATGGACTGTTTCAGGCGGTCTGCCTGCGACGCCAATGGGGGCGCGAGGAACGATTTCTTCCGGAGGTCCTCTAGCTCTTGTGTCGCCTGGAGCAGCTTGGGGTGGTCTGGCTGGACTTTGCTCTTCCAGAAGTCTACTTCCGCCTTGGCCAGGTCAATTGGTGACAAGTTGTGCTTCTGGGGCAACTTCAAAGGACCGGTAGAACCATCTTGGCCCTTGTCCTTCCCTTTTCCTTTGCCCTTCAACTTGCCCTTGCCTTTTCCCTTGCCCGCACCTTTGGGTTCGTGGTTGCCCTGGCCTTGCTGGTAGGCGGGCGGTGGCTCTGGCCAGGTGTGTCCGCCGTAGTGCTCGGGCGCACCCAGCAAGGGCCTAGGCAATACAGGGTGCCCGCTCTGGCCCTGCGCATGCTGCGGGTAATGCGGCACTGGCCACATGCCGCCATAGTGTGCTGCGGGCACGGCCATGGGCGGTGTCGTCAGGGGTGGCGGCGGCGGCGGCGGCGGCGGCGGGGCCTCCATGGCCACCTCCAGCGGCCTCTCTGCCTCCGTCCTGGGGTGCACTGCTCGCTGCTGCTCTGGCCCACGGTCGTCACTCGCAAGCGCGCGCTTGCCGCACATGGACCCGCGGCTGCATGAGCGAGGCTGCGAGTCCTTGAGCAGCCCCGTGCAGCCCGGCTGAGGGCAAGGGCGGGCCCTCTCTCCCGCGCACGTCGGTGCCCGAGTGGGGTGGGGCTCGCCCTTGAAGAAGCTGTTGCCGCCGCTGTAGGCCATGATGACTGGGTCAAAGACTGGCCACTTACTGCGGGGCGAGCTTGGTGGCTGGAGACGTCGCTTGATCCCAGATGCTGCGGTGAGGGGGGGTAGGACCCCCCCCGCGGCGCAACGGCGGCGGCGGCGGCTGGCTGGGGCGGGCGGCGCCCCCCCCCCGGGGGGGGCGGTATTTATTAGAAAATAAATACCTCACCCCTGGGCGGCCGCAGAGGAGCGGGGGGGGAGGGCAGGGGGGAGGGGGGGGAAGCCGCGGATGGGAGCGGGCGCAGGGCCGAGACGTACTGCGGGGTGGGTTGCGCCCCCAATGGCCCGCAGCTGTTCCCCCTTTCCAACCCCCTTACTCCCATTCGGGGAGGTTTCCCCCCCCCCCCCCTACCATAAGCGGCGGTGCGATATACCCGGATTCCCCCTACAATGCCCGATCGTGCTTCACATACTCACGCACTGACTCGAGAGCTGCAACAGCGGCAGGCGGATATAGCGATGTGCATGACTATGGCCGCGCGCGCGGCAGCTGGCAGGCTGATCCAGTCGAATCAGCGGGTCGGGGGCTACTGTGAACTTGCTATGCAGTGGTCCTTAGTCCCCGACCCTTTAGGCAATGTGCGTGAGGTGGCAGCATACTGGGGAAGCTGATCCGGGCGAATCAGCGGGCCAGGGGCTACCGCGAACTTGCTGTGCAGTGGTCCGTAGTCCCCGACCCGTAGGCTAAGCAGCGGGAAGCAGTGAACATGGTACACAGACTGGCCACCTGCGTGGTGGTTGCTGCAGTGAGCTGCTCAACTACTTGTGACCTGGTCGCTCCTGTCGAAACGACCGGCTGTGTTACATGCGAACTTCGTGAGTCCGTAGCGCTTTGCCTCCATAGCCCAAACTCTGAGCGCTCAAAACATTGTAATCCCACTAAACTGACCTGCCTAGGGTATTGGGGACACGGTGCACAGTGACCCCACTGCATGCGTGATGACGCGTTTCGTGCAAAAACAAGCCGAATTTAGCCTTTGTCGCCCCGACCCCCACTCCCTGGTCCTCGTGGTCGGGGTGCTCATCGGAACCCAGCGCTGGGATCCTTAAAGGCTGCCCCGTGCGTCCCCGACCACACCGAGAACCAAGAAGGCTGGGGGGTCATCGGCACGGGGAGGAGGAGGAGGAGGAGGAGGAGGAGGAGGAGGAGGAGGAGGAGGAGGAGGAGGAGGAGGAGGAGGAGGAGGAGGAGGAGGAGGGGGCGCAGGAGAAGCAGGCAGAGGAGACAAGGAGGCAAACGAAGGGGAGAGGAGGAGGAGGGGGAGGAGGAGGAGGAGGAGGAGGAGGAGAGGAGGAGGGGTAGGAGGAGGAGGAGGAGGAGGAGGAGGAGGAGGGCGCAGGAGAAGCGGGCAGAGGAGACAAGGAGGCAAAGGAAGGGGAGAAGGATGATGATGATGATGATGATGATGATGATGATATGATGATGATGATGATGATGATGATGATGATGATGATGATGATGATGATGATGATGATGATGATGATGATGATGCTGATGATGATGATGATGATGATGATGATGATGATGATGATGATGATGATGAGATGATGATGATGATGATGATGATGATGATGATGATGATGATGATGATGATGATGATGATGATGATGATGATGATGATGATGGATGATGATGAGGAGGAGGAGGAGGAGGAGGAGGAGGAGGAGGAGGAGGAGGAGGAGGAGGAGGAGGAGGAGGAGGAGGAGGAGGAGGAGGAGGAGGAGGAGGAGGAGGAGGGGGACTACGGGGAAGACTGGGGAGGTTTGGGGGGAGCTAGGGGGAGAAGGACTAGAAGGAGGAGCAGCAGGAGTAGGAGGAGGAAGACAGCCGGCGCGGCCTACACTTGGAAGTTCAGCCATGCTCTTGTGTTGGAATGTTGCTCTCGCTTGAGCGCTGGCCGCATCCCTGATCGGGAGTGGCGCGCTGTCGCCTGAGCGCTGGCAACAGTTCTGTCGAAAGAATGGTGCTGTCGCCTGCGCGCCGGCCACATCCATTTCTGGGATGGCCAGAGCGCCAGCCACACCCCTGATTGGGGATGGTGCTGCCGCTCGAGCGCTGGCCGCATCCCTGATTGGGAACGGCATTCCTATCCGAACGCTAGCCACATCCCTGACTGGGGCTGCTCGTCTTGCCTCAGCGCTGGTCACGTGCCTGCCTGAGTCTGGTGCTGCAATTCGAGCGCGGGCCACATCCCGGTTTGGGAATGGTGCTTTCGCCTGGGATTGGTGCTGTCGCGTGCGCGCCGGCCACATCCCTGATTGGGGACAGTGCTCCCGTCCGATGACTGGCCACATCCTTGGTTTTGGATGGTGCCGCCGCTCGAGTGCTGGCCACATCCGTGGTTGGGAACGGTGCTCCTACCCGAGCGCCAGCGACATCCCTGATTGGGAACGATGCTCCCGCCCGAGCGGTGGCCGCAATTTCATGCTGGGAGGCTTATCTTTACCTTGTTGGAGGGGTTGTCTGGGTTCCGGCGTTTTTTTGTAGATTGTTTCGTTCCATTGCAAATGGTAGGTCGCATAGCGTCACGCGTTAGCGCCGCGTCCGCCGCCGTCGCGTCGCGCCCCAGTGTGGGCCAAGTGCAGGCCAGCGCCGTCAGTTGTGGAAGCTCGCATGGGGTCACGCCGTCGGGGCCGCCGCGCCGCGTCGCGCCCTAGCGCGGACCCAGCGCAGCCGATCGTCGTACAGAAAGAAGCATTGTGGCCATGATGCGCAGCATCACCGTCATCTTTGTCAGCTCCACCATTTTCGCACAGCGTCACCTTGCCCAGTACTTACCGCCCCTCGCGAGGATCGTTCCCCTCTGGGAGCGTCACCTGGCTTGATCATTCGGCACGCTCTTGACGATGACTGTGCGCTACTACGGGGTGTAGTAAGTCGACGCTGGCGGCGCTGGCTTCCGGCTCGAGCGCCAGCTGCATTCTCAAAAACATTGTTGTGTGCAATGGTTTGGGCTACATCTTTTGTATGGTTTTGTTGCGGCGCGGTAGTGTCGATTGTTTCCATCGCAGTATCCACGTGTTGTGCACGCGCTACGCTTGTTCCTCTCCCATGTTATTATGTTCGCGACGTTCGAGCACCTCCGAACCCAGAGTTGCGAGGATGCCCCAGGAGTTTGGAGGATATCTCAGGGGACCACCTCGCGAGCAGTATCGTCGAGCCTGCAGTTGCGAGCTTGTCTCAGGCGCAACTGGCCGGACCTCCTCTCGCGTGGCATCTTTGAGCCCTGGCGAGGATGTCTACGTATATCGAAATTGGCTGGACCACCTCAGGTCAGGGCGTCTCGGAGCGTAGATTGGCGAGGATGTGTGAGGCGACGAGCCAAGAGTTTCAAGGATGTCTCAGGCGAGACGAGCCAGACCACCTCAGGTCAGGGCATCTCTGAGTCCAGAGGCGTGAAGATGTCTATAGCGAAACGGGCTGGATCACCTCGCGCGCGGCATCTCTGAGCCCAGAGTCGGGCGGATGTCTCAGGCGAAATTGTCCAGACCACCTCGCGCGCAGCATCTTCGAGCCCAGAGTTGGGAGGATGTCTCAGGCGAAATTGGTCGGACCCCCTATCTCTGAGCCCAAATTTATGAAGACGTCTCATGCGAAACCGGCCTGACCGCCTGTTGCGCGGCATCTCGGAGCCCGGAGTTGCCATGGCACGACCAACTCAGGACAGGGCATCTCTGAGCCTTGCGAGGATGTCTCAGTCGAGATGGGCAGGACCACCTCAGGTCGCGGCATCTCTGAGGCCAGAATTGTGCCATTGTGCCATGCGGTGCTGCTGAGTTGTGTCAAGCCCAGGTTATCCGAAGGACCGATTCGACGTCGCGCGATGCCTCTCCCGCTGACAGGAGCTGAAGAAGAGCTCGCCCACCAGGTCACAGTTGGAGGCCGCGCCGCCTGTCTCTTGGGCCGCAGACTCCTGCCAGTGGCACATGGTGGTGATCCTGATGAGAGGGGTACGAGTCGTCTTCGCTGGCGGTTGGTCTGCGCCGACGGTCGTCTCTCCGGGGGCGTCTTCAGCTGGCGGCCGTTTTGTTTGGCGGTAATATTCGTTTGCGGCCGTCTTGGGTGGTGAGCCTGATGAGTGGAGGACATGGAGGAGGGGGATGAAGGTCGAAAACACGGAACAATGCATAAACGTCATTTTTCGGAGAGCCGCGCGGATTTCTCGGGTCGGCGCTGGACCCCTCGCGCGTTCAGGAACGGATCCCAGCGCCCGCCCAAGAAATCCGCTCGGATCTCTGCAAGCTCACGTTTACGCATGATTTCTCAGGGGTGGAAGAGGTGGCCGAGGAAGAGGCGGAGGCGGACGAGGAGGAGGAGGACACATCGAATCAATGTCAGGAGGTTGAGGAGGTTGGACTCGCCGATCGGTCTGCAATGTGTCATCGATTCCAGGGCATGGGCATCCGATCGATCCGATCTGATGTCGATTTCGGCCAGCCCGATCTGATTCGATCCCGATGCTCCGCGACCCGGTGCGGCCCGATGCTCGCACGGCGTCGTTGGTGCATCCTGCCGCGATCGATCTAATGCGATTTCGACTCCGTGCCGATGCGGCCCGAGTCGACGCGCGCTTCGATCCCGATCTCGGGTATTGCCAGGACCCCAGGTAAGGGGACCTGGTCAGTAGTAGGGCCCTGGGGCACGTGAATTGGCCAGAATCCTTACACCAGGTCTGCCGTAGCTGGTGTTTTCCCGGGTGACAGCAGTTCCGGTGAGCGGAGCGGGCAGGGGGGGCGCCCCCCAGTGCACATCACTAAACCGGGTCCCGCTAGACCCACTCCTGCAAACGCCCGACGATCTCCCGAGGCGATGCTGGCTGATCCGGGCACAGGACCCGCTGCCTGCGGCCCGCGGCACGTGGCGCGGACGGGCCCGGAGCGCCCCTGCCGCCCCCGCCGGGCTGCAGGCCGCCCTTTGCGGCCGCCCGAGGGTGCGAATGCTTTTGGCCTCGGGGAGGCCAAGCATCATCGCGCCGACATCGCAGAGCGCATTTCTTCCGGAAAGCGATAGGATGGGCCGGGAGTGTCCTGGAGAATTTCGTTCTGGACTTCGAGGTGAGTTTCGTGTGATTTTTTTGGCCAGGAATGAAGACTAAAAGAAATCCACGCGAAATTCACTTCGTTTTTCACGCGCCCTTTCGGGCAGAAATCCACGCAGAAATCTACGCAGAAATCCGCTGCAGCACGTCTGCAAGGCCTGTGCAATGACATGCATCGAGGAAGAGCAGCAACATTGTCGCCATGCTTTTGTGCATTGTTTCGCGTGTCGGCGGTGGCCTGCGCCCCCGCTCCGCCTCCCCCCCATTTCCCCCCTTCATGGAGCAGACTTTGGCTGCTCTTGGCGGCTGCTTCTGGCGACTGGTCAGGACCCCTCCCCCCAGTCTGCTTGCGCGACGGGTGCGAGAAGATCGACTACGCACCAGCCCATATCATGACCCCCCCCTCCCCCACCCTTCGGCCGAATGTCGAAATCCAGATTGACAAAACGCTTACATTGTCAATCCATCTTTGCGGAGGTCTTGTATCTTGGCCTCCCGGATGAGGCTCGAGTTAGATAACAGGTCGGAGGATGGCGCCGCATCGTGCGGAGCCCGAGCTCCTCCACGCCGACGGCGCCGATGCATCGGCGATGCGGCGCGACCCTCGGACCCCACCTGCTCTGACCACAGTTGGGAGGCCTCTGCAGGCATCGAACAGCAACAATACTGTAAGCACATGTTCTCGGAGGCCCATGCGGGGCTCTCGTGTCGGCACCGGGCCTCCCAGGCGGCACCTCTGTGGTGGCCGGCGCCGCGCACGAGCTCTGCGCGTGCATCTCCATCGTCTGTGTCCATCTGCTGCTCTGCCTCGCTCATGTCCAGCAGGCTCTCGAGGTCGAGTCGGCGTTTGCCCATGGGCTGCCAGCAACTCTGCCAGCATCGCTGCCAGCGTGCCGGCCCCTGCTGGACAGGCGGGCGCCACCTCACGCTGCTTCAGCGCAGTGCCGCCCCGCACAGCTGGCGCGGAAGGGCTCCAGGTATCGCTCGCGACCAGAGCTCGATGACGTGCAGCGCAGCATCGGCCTCGGTCTGGCCCTACTGCGCCTGCTTGCCGTGCGCTGCACAGGCCGTTCGGTGCGCGCCAGCGCCTTGGGGGATTCAGCGCCGACCCAACAAAAATCCGGTTGGGCCTCTGACAGTTTATGTCGACATCTATTGTTCTGATTAGGGGATCGACTACAGAATTGGTTTACCCAAAACTGTTTTTTCGCCGAGTCCATGGAACATGTGTGGAATGTTCGCCGCTGCCGCCTCCGCCGCCGCCGCCGCCGCCCTCGTCGTCGCCGTCCCCCTTCAGCGTCGGTGGCACTGGCTGCTAGGCCTTTACATTTTTTTTCGCCGAGTCCATGGAACATGTGTGGAACGTTCGTAGATCTACGAACATCCTCGGTCGATCAACGACTCTGCGAGGACCATAAAACTGCCTCACCACCACTTCCCATCCTCCCTCCCTCCCCTCCCTTACCCATCCTCTCTTCCTCCCTCCATCCTCGCCAATCCTATCCCTTGCTGGACGATCCGCTCGCCTTGCAGTCTTGCGGTCGTCCTCAGTTGACCTGGTGGCCAGGGTCGCGTCGCCAGCATCAGTCCAGGACTGCCCCGCGCCCCTGTGTTGCTGTCGCTGATCTGACCACGGTCCAAGGTCCCGCTGGCTCACTTACTGTTCTGTAGCCTTTGGTGCCCGTGCAGAATGTTTGATTTTCGACGTTCTAGTGCAGCCAGTTGACTGTGCCAATTTTTCTCTGTTACGTGCGTGCCACCATTAGCTGACAGGCTATGTGCTTCATCAGCGGCGCAATCCAAGTTCCTCGCACCCCAAGAAAGAGGACAGAGGAAGGGGAGGCTATGGGGAGGGAGGAGGACTGGAGGGCTTGTTGGTGGATGCCCTCGGGTCCCGCAGATTCAAGCAACTCTATGGGCGGCGGGGGTAGGGTCTGGAATTCGTCGAACACGCGTCGCAGTCCGAACTTTACCAGTGCTTCCCGTCGATTCACGAAACTCAGTGGTTGGTAGGGAGTCAGTGCGGTGCTTTTGTGTGAAGATAACAGCCAATCGGGGGGGAACATAGCATCAATGACACGCCGCCATTGGGAGCCCTTCCGTATGCCATTTTTTCGTGACCGTTCGAAGGCCAGGTGTGCTATTTCAACGATAACACGCTGGTTGGTCGGCCCGCGACGGTCTGGAAAAGACGGTTGTCGCCTGCAGCGCCGCTTGATGGAACGTCTGCCAAATATGATTGAGTTCGAGTGTGACAGTCCGTGTGGGTGAGAGTGTGTCTGGGTATGAATAATTCGGAGTGCGAACGAGATTAAGTGTGAGTGGGGCCTGAGATTGAGCGTGATCCATACACATCGGAACATTCGTGAGCCATGGTGAACTGTAGTCTGAGCATGCGTCGGTCTGATGGCTGGTGAGTCTGAGTGCGCATGAGTATGCGTGTGAGTTGGTCTGGGTGTGAATCAGTTTGAGCTTGACCGAATCAGATTATGAGCGAGTCTGGTCGAGTATGTGTGGCTGAGTTTGAGTTTGAGCGGGTGTGGTCGAGTCTGGGTCTGGGTATGGGTATGTGTGTATGGCGTGTATGGTCGACCATGAGTCCGCGTATGAGCGTGTTTGAGGTTGAATGAGTCTGTTCATGAGCGAGTATGAGCGAACGATTCAGTCTGAGTATGAGCGGGTCTGAGTCGGTCTCGGCTTGTGTGACACCTAGTACGATCGGACATAAGTATGAACGAATCATAATGTGATGGGTGAGTCAGAGTGAGAAGGAGGTGCTGGTGAGTATGTCCGCGTGTGAACGTGTGCGACCGAATGGGAAAGAGGGGAAACGGGGTGAGTAACTGAGTGAATGAGTGGGTGGGTGAGTAATTTGGGGGGCAAAAGCAAACAAACCGCCTGAGAGGCCCCCCCCAAATCTGAACGCGAATCCTGAAGTGTCCCACGCCTGGCGGTTCCGCCTTGGGGTGCCCAGTGTCGCGGTGAGCAGTGGACCACCAAACAAATCAGAGGGGCAAGAACAGGCGAACCGCCCGAGACAACCCCTCAAACTGGACGCGAACCCTGCAGTGTCCCCACCCTTGGCGGCTCCCCCTTGAGTGTCCCAGTATCACGCCTGCACACTGCGGGGAGGAGTGGACCACCAAAGAAAAATGCAGGGGAACAGAAGCGGACGGACCGCTCGAGGCCTCCCCATGATCTGCCCGCGAATCCTGAACCGTCCCCACCCCTGGCGGCTTCGCCTTGGGGTGCCCACATGCCCGCTATATCGCGGTGAGTACTGGACCACCAAAAGAGAGAAATGATTCTGGGGGACAAAAAGTCAAACCGCCTGAGACATCCTCACAAGTTGCTTGGACAGCAGAGGATGTCGGGTATGCAAATAAGCAACCCGGCGGAATGTCCTGACCTTGGAGCCCCCCCGTAGAAGTGCTGAAACCAACGCCTCGCCTGAGACACCCTCAGATTGCGCTTCGAACCCAGAGGGTGCTGGGCATGGAAGCAGGCAGACCGTCCTCACAATTTGGGTATGAATTCGGTAGTGTCCTGGCCTTCGGACCCCCCTTTAGAAGTGCTGAAGCCAGCGCCTCGCCTCAGACATCCACAGGGTGTGCTTCGAAAGCGCAGGGTGTTGGGCCTGCAAACAGGCAGGCCGCCTGAGACATCCCCACAATCTGGGCGCGAAGCCTGGAGTGTCCTGACCCCCGGCGCCTCCTCCTTGGGGTGACCTGTTACGCCTGCTCTATCGCGGTGTGCATTGGACCACGAATGAGTATGAATGAGACAGACGTTGAGTATGAGAGGAGTATAACTGTGAAGTAGTCTGAGTCTGATTGAGTCCGAGAATGGGTGAGTCGAAACGTGAGTGAGTCTGAGCGTGAGTGTCTCTGAGTGTTTTGGGTCTGAATATGAGTGGGTTTGAGTGTGAGTGAGTGCGGGCGTGAAAAAGTCTGAGTGTGAGTGAGTCAGGGTATGAGTGAGCCTGAATGTGAGTGGGTCATTCTGACCGAGGAAGAGGACGGGAGGACGAGGATGTGAGGAGGAACTGTTCTTGGAGAGGTCCAAATCAGAACAATAGCCCCATGTTCGGAGGTTGGGGGGTGAGCTCGCAGTGGAACGGAGACCCCCAACCGGGAACTCGTTTCGTTTCGTTCGTGTCGTGCGTGCGGGCGAGGCGATGCTGCGCGGGCGCGCGAGAGGAATGAACCCGCCGTTGCTAGGGCGAAGTCAAGACAAATGATTCTCCCCCCGTCCGGCGGTGTCCCGCGGTGTCCCGCGGTGTCCCGTGGTGTCCCGTGGTTATCCGTGGCGTCCGCGGTTGCTGGGGCGAAGTCAAGACAACTTATTCTCCCCCTCCCTCCCGTCTGGCGGTGGCTCGCGGTGTCCCGCGGTTTCCCGTGGTGTCCTGTGGTGTCCCGTGGTGTCCGCCGTTGATAGGGCGAAGTCAAGATAAATGATTCTCCCCCTCCCGCCCGTCTGGCGGTGGCTCGCGGTGTCTGGCGGTGGCTCGCGGTGTCCCGCGGTTTCCCGTGGTGTCCTGTGATGTCCCGTGGTGTCCGCCGTTGATAGGGCGAAGTCAAGACAAATGATCCCCGCCCGCCCGTCCGTCCGTCTGTCCGGCGGTGGCTCGTGGTGTCCAGCGGTGTCCCGTGGTGTCCCGTGGTGTCCTGTGGTGTCCCGTTTAGTGAGATCGATAGTGAGATCGATAGTGAGATCGATACTGGGGTCGATGCGGTGCCCCGAGGTGTCCCGTGGTGCCCCGTGGTGTTCCAACAATTGAGATCGACAGTGAGATCGATAGTGAGATCGATGTGGTGCCCCGAGGTGTCCCGTGGTGTCCCGTTGAGTCAGATCGATAGTGAGATCGATAGTGAGATCGATACTGAGACCGATGTGGTGCCCCGAGGTGTCCCGTCGTGCCCCGTGGTGTCCCAAAAAGCGAGATCGATGGTGAGATCGATACTTCGATCGTGAGATCTATAGTGAGATCGATAGTGAGATCGACGTGCTGTCCCGAGGTGTCCCGTGGTGCCCCGAGGTGTCCCGTGGTGTCCCGTTGAGCGAGATAGATAGTGAGATCGATAGTGTGACCGATAGTGAGATCGAGAGGTGTCCCGCGGTGTCCCGTGGTGTCCCGTTGAGTGAGATCGATAGTGAGATCGACAAGTGTCCCGTGCTGTCCCGTGGTGTCCCGTGGTGTCTCGCTGAGTGAGATCGATAGTGAGATCGATTGAGTCAGATGTTGGTTCCCCCCTCCTCCAGCCCCCGCACAACCTCCTTATCACCCGAAGGGTGGCCTGATGAGTAGGATATGGGGAACAACATCGGCCATCTTGAGGCTGGCGGTACGCGCGAGGCCGCTCTCAGCAATTCCTGTACGCATGCTCCTCAGCATCCTCCATTCCACCTTCATCTCATCATCTTTTCTCGAAGTTCAACACGGCGAGGGCCCGCAGGGGGCCCGCCGAATTGAGCCCGCAGAGCTGGAGTCATGGCGGGCCCCCCAGGGGGAAGTTTGCGTACAGATTTTGCAATCATTGGGTGTTACCACGGATACTGCCTCGGCGAGGGTCGGTACCAATCGTCGAAGTGTTTCGTGGGGCCATGTTGGCGTCCCGTGGGTGGTCGGACGGCCTCTTGGGTGTCCCAGGGGGACATGAGACAGCAACATGCGTGAGCGGTGTGCCGAATTGATGTGTTCGCTGCTTGGCGAGGACAAATTGCTTATCTTTTTACGCGCTCTGGGGTAATGTTGGACAGGACATGAGTGAGGGGCGCGCCGAAAGGATTTTTTCGTAGCCCTCGGGGCGCGGGCCAGTCGTGCTTTCACATGCGCCAGGAGCCCGAGAGCGCAGATCATATGTATTTTCACGTGTCAAAAGGAGGATGCCAGGAGGAGAAAAAACACACAGACACAATTAATCGTCGACTCCCCGGAAAATATTGGAACATGTGGGATGTGGGGGACGACGAGAACCCAGAAAATATAGGAAAATATGGGGAATCCTGTTATTTGTGCCTATTTATATCTGTGTGTCCCAGGGCCCCTTCAGAACGGAGGTACGGCTGCCCTCTTCGGGCCTTTTTGGGCTGGCGGAATGTGCGAAACCGCTCGTAGCATCCTTTACGCATGCTTCTCCCTCTCTTCCGTCACATCCTCCATCTCATCATCTATCCCAGGGCCCGCAGGGGGCCCGCCGAATTCAATCGCTTCGCTCATTCCGCCGGCCCATGTTGTAGCACTGGTGCTATATGCTGGTGTGCTTGTGGCGAGCGAGGAGGAGGAGGAGGAGGAGGAGGAGGAGGAGGAGGAGGAGGAGGAGGAGGAGGGAGGAGGAGGAGGAGGAGGAGGAGGAGGAGGAGGAGGAGGAGGAGGAGGAGGAGGCTTCTTGATGACTTCTTCCGGCGTTCTTGGGGCCGAACTGTGTTGTGGACAAGACTCTGTGACAAGACACCTCTATGGGAGGCTTCCTTGGATTTCTTGGGGGTTCTCTTGGCGATACTTCTGGGACCTCCAGGTGCCTTTGGGGCCTCTTAGGACTTCTTGGGGGGTTTCTTTTGCGCCTCCAGGGGCATCTTGGGGGCCTGTTGGGGTCTGCTGGTGGTCTCGGGGGCACAACAGCCAACGGACACTTCATGAAGTTTGGTTTTCGGCGCCGCTCTTGGGGCTGTCTTGCGCTTGGTTCTGCTTGCCGCGCCTGGACGTTTTTGATGTCTGTGTAGCTGCTTCTTGCAGATGCGCCGTCTGGGCGCGTGGCTTCTTGCTTGCTTGCTTGCTGGCTTGCTTGCTTCCCATCGGTCTCGACTGGAGTGCCCCCTTCAAGCTCCGCTTGGCTCCCCTCGGGGGGCGCTGCTCTGGAGCGCTCTTTGGGGTGTCTGGGAGACCGCCCCCGGGAGGTGTTTGGGAGACCGCCCCCGGGACCCTGCCGGAACCTTGCCGGGGTATATTTTCTTTTCCTCCGGGGAGCCCCAGGGGCGGCCCCCCGCGCGCGCGAGCAGAGGTCTCGGCACGCCTCGGGCCCGATGGGCCAGCGAACGCCCCCCTTCGGCCACCGAGCGGCGGGGCTCCTTTCGACTCCTCGCTCGATGCGATTTCGATCGTGCCTAGCTCGATCCGACTCGAGCTCGATGCTCTGAGGCTCTGATGCGGCCCGAGGCTCGCACGGCGCTGTAGTGCATCCTTGCGCCACCCTTGTCGATCAGACTTCGTTTCCGTGCCGGTGCCGCACGCCTCGCTGCACGTCTCGATCCGATCCGATTGTGCGATGCGATGCGGGCTGCTCTTGCGCAAAGGGGCACGGGGTTCAGGCTCTCGGCGGCATCTTTGTCGCCCTCGAGCCAGTTTTGTCACGCTCTGGTGATAACGGGCGTGACAGTTCGTCGAAGGGAGGGGGAAGGAGGCCCAGTCACGTCACGATTCGAGCTGGCGTCGTTTGGGAATGCTCAGGTGGCTCGTTCCTGGATGGCGCCAGCGCCAATCGTGGTGTGCCCAGGGGGTATGGAAGGGGGGGTGGGCGGGTCCGGTCACGGGCGTTGCCGCGAATAATTTCGAGCGGGCTCCTGTCTCGTCGCGGGCAGGTCCTGTCTTCCGAGTTCTACACCCTGATCCCGCACAACTTCGGGCGGGCCCGGCCCCCAGCGATCAGCACCCAGGAGCTGCTGTCCCTCGGCGGTGGCGGCGGCATCGACGTTGACGTCGTCGTCGTCGTCGTCGTCGTCGTCGTCGTCGTTGAGGGCGTCGTTGAGGTCTTCGTCGTCGTCGTCGTCGTTGTCGTCGTCGTCGTCGTGGTCGACGGCCGCGCTGGTTTTTGACCCACCAATTCTGCTTATGAAGTTTTTTGTTGATATGGGTAAGTCTTGAGGCTCAGACAGTGTCACTCGGCCCCCAGCCACAACAATAAGGGCTCGCGCATCAGAAGTCGTCTTCGCAATTCATTCAGGAATGGCGCTATCGCTCGATAGTTGGGTGCAGTTTTCGAAATCATTGCGCTCTCGCCTAGGACTTCCTCGAAATCTATTCAGAAATTGCGCCCTCGCTGCTCAGGAATCGTGCTCTCGCTTGGGACTTCCCCGGGGTCACGCCCTCGCGACTCAGGGATTGTGTTCTCGCCTAGGACTTTGACAGATTACTACTGCATTGCCGTCTCGGGAATCGCGCTTCGGTGTTGCGCCCGCACGACCCGCCCGTTGGGGCTCTCCCGCCTGTCAGGGTCCCCCCGCCCGACCCGCCCGTCACGGTCAGCCCGCCCGACCCCGACCTGCCCGCTTCCAGGTCCCCCCCCACGGGCCCGCCCAAGTAGGGTCCGCCCGCTCTGGCGTCCCGCCCGCCCGTTCCCGCCCGCTTGGGTCCGCCCGCCCGACCCGCCCGATCTGGTCCGGTGAGGTGCCGCCCGCCCGACCGGGCTGTGTGTACAGTCGGACCGAGGTACCAGGTCGAGGTCGGTTCGGGGAGGGTACCCCGAACTTCTTCTTAATCAACCGGGGGGGGACAAACGTGAAAACGCGGCGCGGCCAATCCCCCGGCACCACCCCGGCGCCCTGGCGCCCCCTGGCATCACCGTGGACGCGCCGCGGCCAACCCCCCTGGGCACTCCAAGGGGGGGGCGATGATTAAGCGATCCAGAGTACCCTACTGTCCTTCGTGCTTGTTGGATGTTCTTGTGCGGCCTGGGCGAGGGCACCCTCGAGTATTCCTCAGTTTGGCTGGCCGAGGACCTCGTGCTGTTGAAGGGTGTTTTTCTGCCCCAGGTCCGACTGTAACCCTGCCGAGGTTGACCCAGGAATTGACATGAGAAATATGCCCCCTAAAGAGGGGTTCGTTCATGAACGACGAGGGCGGGATTCGCGGGTAGGGGGCGTACATGCTCAGTGACATGCGAGCAACGTAGAGCGAGCAGCTTTAAACTTGTTGTTGCTGTTCTCTCGTTGTTGGTAGACTCTCACTGTTGACCCCCCGTCCATCGCCTATGGTGTTTTTCAATTTGAAGTGCCCCTCTTGGGCTATTTTGGAAGCGGGATCTCTTGGGGCCCCCTTCGGGTCCACTTGGGCCCCCCTCTTGGGCCCCTCCCTCTTGGGGGCGTTTGGGGCGCCGTTGGAGCATCTCGGGGGCCATCGATCAAAGAAGGAGGGCTTCTTAAGTTCGCCCCTTCGTCGGAGGCCGAAACATGGCCTCTTGGGACCATCTTGCGGCGCTCTTGGGCGCTTTTGGGGCCGTCTTGGGTCCCCCTTGCGGCTCTCTTGGGCGATCTTGTAGCTACCTTGAGACCTCAAGGGCCCATCGGAAGTGAAAAGGTGAGAAGACAAGTAACAAAATATGTGTCTGTAGGCTCTGGAATGATGTTGGCACCCCGGGAGGTCCATGGGAGGCTCCGTGGCCACTTCGTGCCTTCTTGGGGTGGCCTGGAGTCTCTTGGAGGCATGTGGGAGGCTATCTGGAGCTATCGTGGTGTAGCGCCAGCGGCGGGCCGCGCGGCCAGCATGTACTGTTCGATTTTCGCGGGCCTCTCGTGCTCGCGAGACGCCTCGTCGCTGCCAGCTGGGCGGCGGCGGCTTTGATTTTTTTCTTCTTTGCGGCAGCCACGACACAGGCATCGCGCTGCTGAGCGTCGTGCGAGAGCTTTCTTGGGCTTTCTTGTGCCGTCTTGGGGGTCATCTTGGGCTATCTGTGGCCATCTTCGAGCCATCTTGGACCCTCCACCGAGCCCAAAGGGCTGGTGGGGTTTGTCTTGCACAGCTATGTTCTAGAGCTCGGAACCTTTTCTTTTGGTTTTTCATGGCTCGTCGTCTGCGGGTCCTCTACCCCCGCCGTCGCCCTGTCCCCGGCAGAACCCATTCTCTTTTCTTTGGGCCCTCTTGGGGCCCTTGAAACTCCACCGCGCGAGTGTCTCTAAAGCGAGCTGAGGGACGTAAGGAGTGGAAGCGAGCGTGCGCCCGCGGCCGCGTCCGCCCAAATATGACCGTGCCTCACTGCGAGGCACACAATCGCTATCGAGGCCAAAAGGATCTTCCTAGTGCTTAAGATGGCACATCCTCTCCTACTGGGACTATCGTTACTACGGTACAACACAGCTGGAATTTGGCTTCGCCTAAGGCGAAGCTGCTGGCTGGGCCTCCCAGCCCCCTTCAAACTTGGTAGCGGAGCTGGCCTATGGTGGTCAGCTTTTGCTTTACTCCCCACCATCCACTGTATTATCTGGTGGACTACGGACATGGTGGAACATCCGGGTGCAGTGGGTTTGCGCTGAGGAATGTACATAGCTACGCAGTACCGCAAGGACACTTGCAGCGATACCTCTGTTCAAGTGGAGGTCTGTTACTTACATCCCACCTCCTTGCGCTTCTACACTCCTGAAATTCGCCCACCTACTCCAATTGGAAATTTCTTCGGAGATATAATGCATGGAAACATGCGATGCGAAGTATTGCCGCCTCCGACCCCACGCAGACTTACGACTACACAACGGAAGCCCCAACCGATTACATCCGACTACGACTTACGAGGCCGTTAGATTGGTGTTACTATTTTTGGGCTCGCGTGGGTCGTTATCGGGTGTGCGGTAGGACATATGCGTGGCGGAGACGACACGAGATACTGACCCTCATTGGGACCCAGCCGGTCAAGTACCTTTTGGCGAATTTGTCCGTGAAGTACATGCCTGGATCAATGTGACCACAGGCAATATGACGCCCTCCCAGCAGGCTGCAGCTCTGCAGCGAGGTTTGGGAGGTCTCGTACGGACCATAGCCATGAGAGTCCCTTCAGCAGTTATTAATTTCGGCGTCAACATAGATGGCCGCCACACCGACGGCGCCATCTACATCATGTTCCTCTTAAGCACGGAGTTCGAGAATTTAGAAGATGAGCGCCAACTCAACTCTGGCACGGCTCTCATTGATTTCCGAGTCCATGCGGGCGAACGTATCGACCAGACGTTAACACGGTTTCAGATGGCCCACTGCGAAGCTGAAGCAGCTGGCCTCAACATCCCCATTTCCAATCCTAACAGTGATTCTATTCAGAATGACGATCCACAACCAACTGAGACCACTACACTGCTTGCTCAGAATGATAGAACGGCCTCGGGGTCGGAAGACTCCTGGGCCAGGCCTAGGGGGCCGCCCGACGCGGTCGCCCCCATGCAAGCCGTGGCCCTAGTGCGCTCAGCGGGGCAACCCGCCGAGTCAGACTTCGACTCCGGTACTGATACAGATGCGTCTTCAGATGGCGAAGCTACCGGCCTTGATTGCTCTGATATGCCTACATACCTCACTGAAGAGCAACGAGCTCAATTGTTTTTTAGGGTATCAAGAACACGAGCGTCGCTGGCGGAGATTCATGAAGAAACCGGTCCGAAAGGTAAGGCGTGTCGTACGCCGAGCACTCAAAGGAAAAGGCAAGGGCCGAAGTAAAGGTAAAGATAAGCATCGGCGATTGCATGGTAGAGGAAAATCAGCATTCTTAGCATATTACTGGACCTCAGTATGAGGAACTGTTCTTTGGTGCTGGCAGAAGCCGCAGGCATGCATCAGGCAAAGGTAGCGGACGACGGGGGAACCCAAAGGATGCCACCGGTAAAACTATGGATGCGTCATATGCCACAGTGCACAACATTTCTGGCGGGAATGCCTTCGAGGTGATGGGAGAGGCAGGGGTCCGTCAATACATCTGGCTCAAACAGACTCCGACATGCAGTATGTTGATTGGGAGTCACTTTTAGCTGACCCCGCCGATAGCTTAACCACAATCGTTAATTTCATGGCTGCCGGATATCTCAGCGCCGGTATAACCCTCGGGAATTATACCGACGAGCTGGTCGAGGAGGTGTTCGCTGGCCACGACGACATCGATTTGGCAGAATGGCTGGGTATACCCATCGCGGGGCAACTTGCAGATTTGAGTTTGGTCGAGAACTTTCACATGCCCGCTGAAGGAGATTTTGGCATGGCGGGGGCACCCTCGGATTCAGAATCCCCCTTTCCTGCGACAGACGAAGAAATACAGGCGATGCTCTATCCTCGGGTGATTGGAATTCCGACAGCCATGCAATTAATCGATGATGATCCCCTGCGGGGGAACCCGCGAGACGCTGGTGATCTATTTGGGCGTATTCAATGTGAGCTTGGTCATGCTGAAGAATTTCAATACACTGTTGTTGTGTCAGATCGGTCCATGTGCCGCCAGAAGCGATCGACGAGCCGCCCAGTCTGGAGGAAGAAGAATTATCGCGACGACGACTAGGACGAATAATGGGAAGACAGTGACCGCGTGATACGTCGCGGTCGGGTTCTCAGTCGCGCGCCAGATCGTGCGCGCGCCCGCTCCAGTGGTGCTCGCTCTTGCGGTCGTCGGCGCCCTGATCCTCCTGGCGCGGGGGGCCCAAAGGCACCGCCATGGCAGGCTAATGGAGTTGTCGCTCTCCTGGGGAGGGGGCGCCCGCAGGGGCGCCCGCCTCGAGATGATCAACCGCGAGAAGAAGGATATCCAGAAGGTAGAATGCAGCGCCTTCCAGGTCACACGGAAGCTGAATTGGCTCGTCAATACATACTCCCAGGTCAGATGTAATACTGGCTGGATCAGGGTTGGAATGGGCGCCAGATCCGGCACAGGTATTCTCTTCGCAGGGTCAAGCGAGATGAGAGAGGCAAGATCCTG